TGAGAGGTAGGCGTTTTAGTTCCCTCTTAGAGCTGAGGAGACGGAGCCTCAGAGACATCTGGCCACTGGCCCAAAGCCACACAGCAAGGAAACACTGGAGCCAGGATCCCAACCCAGGTTTCCTCACTGTGTCTTCCACTGAAAATACACGCAAGCAGCTGGGGCACACACACACCCTCTGGCCCCACCCCTGCAGCCCCTGCTGCTGAGCTCAAGGCCCTGTCTCTTTCAGACCTGGGTCCTCTGGAAACACTGTAAAGACTGTATTCAGGTCCAGACCAACTTCACTAGGTAAGAGGGGGTGCCTTCTCTCCCTCCAGCAACTCCTGGGGCTCCCTGTCCCCAGCTAGTGCATGCTCCCCCCAGCTTCCCGGACAGGGTGGCCCTGGGCTGCCGGTTGGTCTGGGAGTGGCCCCAGGTGCCCGCCAGGGCTGCCTCTGCTGAAGGCCTAGAGCAGACGGGATCTGGCTTTGGAGGAGAGGGGCCACCCCAGATGCAGCGGCGGTGAGGGCTGGGCAGCCCAGGAGCCGGCCAGGCTGTGTGGGCAGAGTGTGGCATCTCCCCCAGGTGTGGCCTGATGCTGACCCTGGCCACAAACCTGCTGATGTGGGTCTTGGCCGTCACCAATGACTCCTTGCACCGTGAGATCGAGGCGGAGCTCAATGCCCTCATGAAAAAGTTCTCAGGTACGAAGAGACCATGCCCCACCCCCACCGCTGAATGGTTCATGTGTGCACGGGCACACGCTCACACCCCCACTCCCTCCATCGGGCGAGGCTCAGTGAGTCTGTAGAGTTTCGAGCAAACTCAGAGGCTGGACCATGACTAAACAGAACGCAGACGTTTGCCAGTGGTACCCATCCTGCCCGCTTCTGTGCCTGCCCCATCGGGTGCTGGCACCCTGCACCCCTACTCCAGGCTCCCAGCTAGCTGTCAGCAAGCTGGCCACTAATCCCGGCTGAGCTACTCACTGATAAGGTCAGGTAAGCGCCCCACCCCTGGTGTTTGCATTTTACTTGCAACAAACGAAAAAGTCATGATTCCGGACATATCAGAAGGGCTGGCAAATTTCTGGGGAGAAAGAACCCCCCACATTGCTCCATGTGCCCAATCCCCACCTGTACGGTCTGCCCCTTAGAGGCTATGTCCCATAAGCCTGCGTGGGTACATCCCTGTCTGGGGGTTCAGCCACACCTGTATGTATACACCCCCCGCCCAGGGCATCGCCATCCTGACCTGTGTACAGCCAGGCCTTCCCAGCACACACATGCATTTACACACCTGCCGCCTAAGTCACGGCACGCCTGCGCACTGTGCTCACGCTTTACCCCCTGCATACGTTTCTCAGAGGGGCTGTGCAGAGAGGATTTTTTGCAAGTACCACCATAGGTTGTTTATTATTAAAAATTCAAACATAGAGATGAGTAGAACAAGATATAGCCATCACCCAGGCATTACATGCTTCACATAAGCTTGACACATGAAGCCTGGAGTCCTTCGGTAAAGGAATGACCTTCCTGTAACCTGTGGTTTCTGAGTTTGCTCTCTGGGCCTCAGTTTCCACACCTGTGAAATGGGTGGCTTACTCCAGGGGATGAAAGGGACTGATCTGTGCAGCTGGTTTCCTCAGAGCCAGGCCCACCTGCCCTCTCCCCCCTCTCCCTCCCTCTCCCTCCCTCTCCCTCCTTCTCCCTCCCTCTCCCTCCGTCTCCCAGGCAACGACACCAACACCTGCCTGTGCCTCAACGCCACGGTGTGCGAGGTCTTCCGGAAAGGCTACCTGATGCTCTACCCCTTCAGCACCGAGTACTGCCTCATCTGCTGCGCTGTGCTCTTCGTCATGTGGAAGAACGTCGGCCGCCGCCTGGCCCCCCACGCAAGCGCCCACCCGGGCGCCCCGTCCTTCCACCTGCACGGGGCCATCTTTGGGCCGCTGCTGGGCCTGCTGGCCCTGGTGGCCGGCGTGTGTGTCTTTGTGATCTTCCAGATTGAAGCGAGCGGCCCCTCCATCGCCCGCCAGTACTTCACCATCTACTACGCCTTCTACGCAGCTGTGCTCCCCAGCATGAGCCTGGCCTGCCTGGCGGGCACGGCCATCCACGGGCTGGAGGAGCGAGAGCTGGACACGCTCAAGAACCCCACCCGCAGCGTGGACGTGGTGCTGCTCATGGGGGCCGCCCTGGGCCAGATGGGCATCTCCTACTTCTCCATCGTGGCCATCGTGGCCACGCGCCCCCATGAGCTGCTCAACCGCCTCATCCTGGCCTATTCAATCCTGCTCATCCTGCAGCACATCGCCCAGAACCTCTTCATCATCGAGGGCCTGCACCGGCGCCCGCTCTGGGAGGCGGCTCCCGGGGGCCTGGCGGTTTTTTTTGCCCCACCGCAGGGGCTCCCTGCTGGAGCTGGGCCAGGACCTGCGGCGGGCCTCGCGGGCCTACATCCACTCCTACAGCCACCTCAACTGGAAGCGGCGGGCGCTCAAGGAGATCTCGCTCTTCCTCATCCTCTGCAATATCACAGTGAGTGGTACCCGGGAGGCCTAGGGGCGGAGCTGGTCCAGAGATCCTCATTCAGGAAGGGCTGGTTCAAGGCGCACTCATTGCACACTGACTGTCCCAAGGGTAATTGGCTTGTCCCTTTGATTGTCAAGGACACATGCCGCTTTCCAACCAGCTCTATGACACGTGAGAGCAGAGAGTGGCCCCCAGCTCCCTGCAGGGTCCCTGGCACGAATGAGCGTGCCACGGGCACAGCCAAGTGCACTTCATACACAGATGCGTAAGATTTCTACCCGCAGGAAGCTCCCTGTCCAGCTGGGGAGACACCAGGGGAACAATTAGGGAATTGCCAAATAATTAACTGTCCGCTGAGTTCAGTCCAAGGAAGAGATCAGAAAGTGCCTGGTTCTCTAAAGAGCTCCTGGTAGGTGTTGAGGATGGTTGCTCCGTCCCATGTCCTCGTCCCCAGGCAATAGCTCAGCATCTCGTGGGTCGTCACAGTCACCATGCAGCAGGCACTACTGCTGTCCTGGTTCGCAGACGCGGAACCTGAGGCTTGGGTCGTCTGACCTGCCGAGGTCCTGCCGCCTAAGTGGCCGTGCTGGGCAACTCAGGGCTGTTTGAGCTCCTGATGGTAAGGACAGGGCTGGAAACACACCTCCGGGGTTGAAACCCCTGGTCCAGGCAGACAATAGGCCTGACTTGGCCCTACAGAGCAGTCGGGCCTCCGGGCAGGAAGTGTGGGCCCGAGTGGCCAAGGAGGCTTCCTGGAAGTCTGACCTGGGCCTTGAGAAATGGGACAGAGGCAGAGCCAGGGTCGAGGGGCAGAGACCAGCTGAAGAATGAAGCAGGAGAAGAAGGTGGCTGAGATCAAGGCACAGGGGTGCCAGCTTGGCAGAGCAGGTTGTACCACGGGTGGTGGCACCGGGGGTCTCCTGACCCATCGGAGTTCGGCTGAGGTGTGGGTGAGAGGGATCGGGAGGGACGGGGCTGCTCTGAAGGCCAAGGGCGAGGAGGTGCTGCAGGAGCTGTGGCTCCGGGCCGGCCTCCCCTAAGCCCAGTGCCTCCTCTCCTCCCCTCCCCAGCTGTGGATGATGCCTGCCTTCGGCATACACCCCGAGTTCGAGAACGGACTGGAGAAGGATTTCTATGGCTACCGCACGTGGTTCACCATCGTCAACTTCGGCCTGCCGCTGGGCGTCTTCTACCGCATGCACTCTGTGGGGGGGCTGGTGGAGGTCTACCTGGGGGCCTGAGGCTGCCCAAGGAACCCACCCCTGGCAGAACCCCAAAAGGCCAAGGCTGGGAGAATGTAGCCCGGAGTCTGAGCAGAGGCCCCATTCCCCGGGGCGCTTAGTGCAGCGGGGGCTCCCCCAAAGCCTCGCTCAGGGGAGTACGGGGGGCGGAGAGTGGGTTACTGTTCACAGCCCAAGACCAAGGGCAAAGCCTGGATACTGAGCTTCTGATGCCCACACTGAGGACAGGGCACAGGCCTGCCCCTGCTCACCCCCGCCCCCTGCCCCCAGGAAGCCCCACGGCTACTCCGGGAGGGCCAGCCCTAAATGACTGAGTCTGGGGAGCTTGGAGAGGGGCGCCCCTCCCCAGCCAGGCTCTGGGGTCTGCCTCCTGCTGGAGGAAGGGCGTGTGGTCCAAGTGCCGCCAGGGCACCCTGGGAGCAGACAGCTCGGCAGGCAGCTGCCCTTCCCCCTCACATGACCTAATGATCTCACTAATTAGCTGCCAGGCAGGGCTCAACAGCCCTCTCCCGCTGCCATAAACTCTGCTTGCTTGATTGATTACGTTCGGGCTGCGTGGCATTTGTTCCCAGGGACAGGCTGCCACCGGGTAATGCGGGAAGGGACAGTCCTGGACAGGGCTGTGGGGCTGGGACGGTCCTGTTTCGGGGCCAGCAGAGGTCGAAACCAGGTCTTGTCTGACCCATGGGAGGAGGTGGAGAGAGGGGCCAACAGGCCTCCCCGCCTCTCCCCAAGCACACTCTCTCTGACACCGAGCCCCAGGAGACTTCCGGAGCTGGCTCCCCACAGGGCCGTGGCCGTGGCTGCGGGTCCCCAGGCCTGCTGGTCCTCTGAGCCATCAGGAAGAAAGGGCGGAGGTGACAGCCCATCCATCTCCCTGAGCCCAGTGCAAACACCAACCGACCGGGCCCAGGGCGAGGCGGGTGAGGCCCAAGCAGGGTGGCCCCAGGCCCCTCCCCATGACGCTGGGCCCTGGCAAGCACAGGGCCAAGGCCCCTGGACACCCCCACCCCCTTTCAGTGGCTGCCTGGGGCCAGCAGAGCCCATGGGGCCGTGCCCAAAGCTGGGAGGCAGGCCCATCCCCTCTCCTGTGGGCTCTTTCTGTGCGGCCACAGCCCAGGGGTCCAATTCTCCATCCCCCTGACCCCCAAGAAAATGACCAACACTGGTCCCAGCAGGTGCTTAGGCCCCTGGGGATTGACTCTGGGAGGCAGAATCCTCAGCTCCCCTCCGAGCACAGAGAGCCAGGGTGTGGACAGCGGTTTATTGTGTAAAGTGGCCGATTGTACACAGCAGAGATTGTACTGACACAGGAGGGGTGAGGAAGGCCAGAGGCCAGAGCCTGGAGGCCGGAGGGGAGGCTGGAGGGGTGGTGTCCTGCCCCCCCACAGGTCCTCCATGCAGTGGGTGGGGGAGGGGAGGACTGAACAGCTGCCCCCTCCTCATTCCCTTTGCCCCCGTTACTGGATATAAGATGGGGCCAGGCTGTATCCACTGACCAGGAAGAATATAGCAGGATACCCTCGACACCCCATGCCAAACCCCTAAAATGCATGGGGTCCCCCAGCCTGGCTTTTGCAGCCAGCCAGCCAGCCCCCAGCCTCCTCAAGCCCCCAGGCCACACACCCTCCTCCCTCAGGCCCTGGCAGCGAGCCAGGCCGCACAGGTGGCTTCCGGTAGGAGGTAAGGCCCCCTCACTGCCCAGGGGGCCCAAGAAACAGCCCACGGCTCCCTTTTAGGCAACGCAGAGGGCACAGGAGTCCTCAGTGAGCGGCAGGGAGCTGGGCGGGCACCGAGGGTCAGCTTAGAGACAGGCCTTGAAGGGGAGCAGAGGGAGGTGGGGCTCTGGCCAGGGAGACAGGATGCTCCAGGAGTGGGCGGGGGGCGGGGTTCAGGGAAGGTCAGAGCCGATCCCCAGCATCCCAGCCATAAGGGGCCTCCGGGAGCTGCCACCCAGGGCTCGGTGACTCTGCCAGCCCCAGCCCTGATCATAGTAAGTTAAAGCTCAGAACGGTCAGCGGGTGGAGGTGTGGGGAGGAGGATGGGAGGACCGGGGCCCCCCACCCTCTCCCCGCCCCTGTTCCTTGTAGATTTCCATCCTCACACCCGCTGGATCTCAAACAGCTTCACGTCGGTGTCATACCAGACAGGCGGGTCCACATTCCTGTGGAGGGAGTGGGCTGTCACTGGGCACGGGGAGGCCTCGCAGTGATGCCGCCCAGACCCCTCCCACCCCAATGCCCGTCCCAATGCCCCACCCTGGACCCTGGGTGCCCACCCTCAACCAGACAGGACCACCCCCGTTAACTGTCTTGACATTAACCATTAACCCCACTACGATGGGGGACCCAGCACTGAGACCCCGATGAGCCCCACTGGGCAGACCCTCAGGTGGACGGCAGACCCACCCAGCCGGTGGCTGCCCCACCCTCCCGGGGCCCACCTCAGGTAGATGACGCCCCACATGTAGGTGCGGAACCACATGGCCGTGCCCGAGTTGGCCTGGTACTTCCGGATGAGGATGGGGTGGGGCACGGGCAGCAGCCCCACCAGAGTGCCATGCTGCAGGAACCGCAGGATCTCCGACTCGTCCGTCAGGCCCCTGCCAGGGATGGGGTGTCTCCAACACGCTCACGTGGGAAGCCCACCATGCAGGTCAAGGGGAGCAGGGGGCTCACCCTGGACCCGCGAGGCCCGTGCCCCCGTCATACCCCCACCCGAGCCTGGCCTGGCCCCTCCTCAGAGCCCACCTGTCCCCACAGCCCCACCCTCACCCCCCAGCGCCTCACTTGTCAATGCAGATCTTCTCCACCTGGGGCACCAGCACCTGCAGCAGCCGCATGATGGTCTGCAGCGGCAGCTTCGCCTTCCAGGAGAGGACCTGGGGGAGGGACAGGGCTCCTGGGGCTGGGGAGCCTGACGCTGACCCAGAACTGCAGGCTCCCCAAGGCCAGGCGTGTCCCAGATCACACAGCAAGGCCTGGACGGGCCGCGCCCCTGAACAGTGACTGTTCTTCATGGTCAGCGTGAGCACCTACTACATGCCAGACCCTGTCCCCTTGGACCCTCACAACGGCAGCTCACAGGAGTGTTTATACCCCCATGCAGCGCCAGGAGTGTGACCTCGGGACGCACAGGGATGGGCGATCCAGGGGGGGAGCTGGAAGCGTGATCCAGTAGGAAAATTCGTGCTGTGGGCAACGGAAGCTCCACCCGAGTCAGAGGGAGGCAAGGTCACCCGGCCAGGAGGACTGGTCCCCAGTCTGGCTCCCGGGCCAGTCCTGGGACTTGGACACCTTCCCACCGAGGCTTTACTGAGCTGTGGCTAGTCCCAGGGCCCCTGACCCAGTCCCCACGGGGGTGCCACCTGCCCAAACCCTCACCCACTCCGACGTGGGGCTCCACTGCCCACTGGCTGATGCGCTGGACAATCGCCGCTGCTCCCGCCACGACTGGCTGGGCTCCTGGTCCCAGGAAAGGGAGGGGAGTGAGGGTGGGGGGCATGGGTACAGGGTGAGGGCAGAGGGCAGAGTAGCCGCCCCTCTTCCAGCCCATCCCACAGTCTGGAACCCGGGAGGGCAGTGGGGTCTCCCCACTGGCCCGGGAGCATGGGGGGCTCACTCCCACCTGAGGGCCAGCCCAGCCCCGCACCCTTTGCCCTGGGCCCCGGGCCCCGTCCACTGCCCACTGGCTGATGCGCTGGACAATCGCCGCTGCTCCCGCCACGACTGGCTGGGCTCCTGGTCCCAGGAAAGGGAGGGGAGTGAGGGTGGGGGGCATGGGTACAGGGTGAGGGCAGAGGGCAGAGTAGCCGCCCCTCTTCCAGCCCATCCCACAGTCTGGAACCCGGGAGGGCAGTGGGGTCTCCCCACTGGCCCGGGAGCATGGGGGGCTCACTCCCACCTGAGGGCCAGCCCAGCCCTGCACCCTTTGCCCTGGGCCCCAGGCCCTGCCCGACCCAGCCCAGCTGGTGACAGGTTTAGGGTAAAGGCCAGCCCGGCCTCAGATAAGGCTGATGGATGAGGAGTCTGAAGGCCAAGGGCTAAACCCATGACCAATAAAAAAGGGAGGGTCTGGGAAAGCCCCCCCACAGGGACTCAGCGGGGTGCCTGCCCTACTGCTTCGGGTGACCCAGGCTGCCCAGGCCGGGCCCCACCTCCAAGGCCAGAGCCCCACGCCCACCTCCTCAGCTGGACTGCTGTCCGCAGAGCTCTGGGGGGGTGCAGGCTCCAGGGACCGCAAGGTGCCATCCTCGGACACCTGGGACTTCTCCGTCAGCTTGTCAATGCCTGGGGGGCCAGGTGGGCGTGAGGACCCCTGCCCAGCGCCCTCCCAGCAGCATCCCCACCAGGCCCCGC